AGTTACACGCAAATGTCAGCACAACATTATAGAAGATTCTCCCTAGAGTGACTTTAACACAAATCATTGGCTCCTACATAAAAAGTTGGAATGGAAAGGATCTAAAAAAGAGGAGAGATTATGAATGACAAAACAGCAGCCCGAGAACAAATCTGCAAAAGCTCGTCATCAACTAGCAAGATATTTAATACACAATCTCTTCTGTTCGTCTCAATAGTCAGCCGCTCTACAAATGGGCAAGACAGCTTCACTCCTGCTGTACCTTTTATATGGAACTCGTTGCCATTTACAATAAGGACAAGTATCAGCCACGTCTTTTTTTAAACAATAAAAACAATTTAAAAAGACAATTGAAAACTTTTCTCACTATAAGAAACGTCTTCCTAGTAAACCGGACATGCAATCTGTCAACGTCCATAGTTTCGCTAATGTGAAGGAAAGCGGGCAAAAGCGAAGACTATTACCACCAGAAAAGAGAAAACCACGTGAGTCGTCGTGTGTTATTTTGATCTCAGGACACACACTACCACCACCAAATCATAACACAATGGCACAAAACATGATAACTGTGATAATTAGAACAGTAAAACCTCTTTTTTTAGAAGCTGGCACTGAATGGCCTTAAAGCTATAAAACTAGTAGACTGTGTAGCAGGCGCTTGGAAGTAATATAGGCACCAGAAAAACGGAACGTCTGAGGGAGACACGCGAGAAAAGAGGACGCCACTGCCTGAGAGGCCCATGAAGTTTGTTCCCCTCTTCCTGAGAGTATGGAAAATTTCCATTGGTTGAGAGGCCCCTTCCGTTACGCCAACCGTTCTTCAGTTCTCGGGCCCATTTTACTTTCAAGCACCGGCTACGTAGGCCAAAAACCAAGTGGATTTCATACTCAGTTGCAATTCCATCCCAGTAGTACTATCTTAATTTACCTGTCCTCCAATTTTCATTTCGCCTTCTAGTAGGTGATCAGATTCAGCAAATCCTCTCTCCAGGTCTCCATTTTCTACACAAAGTGGACCAAGGTCAAAGAAAGATTCAGCAGCTATGGCTTCCTGCAAAATATGAAACCAAGATTATACGTCTCTGGGAAACTGCCCACCTATCCCTTCTCCGAAGTTAAAATTTTGCGCCAAGTGAGGAGTAAGTGTTGATGTTGGCTTAGGGTTCCTTTTGTGATCTGCGTAACCTTAAAATTTCTCTCCTTTTGCGTGACACAGCATTTACGGGACGACCAGGAGAGCTGTCATGTTTACGAGTCAAGAGTTGTGAGTTGTGGTAGATATCACTCTGATGCCGTTGTGATGCCTCGTTTCATTTTTAGAACAAATCATCCTGTTACTATTCCGACAACCCTGCGTTTCGTCCTTTTGGTCAACGAAATAAAGCTTGCTCTTATCGCTAACTCGTAACATTATTTCAAAACAGAACCTGAAATTCTAAAACACGTTTCAAGTCTAGACAGGAGCTCGAGTGAGTCATGGTTAACGGTATCAAAAGCTGATTACAAACCGAAAGAACCATTACTACGCGCTGTCACTCCTTCAAGAGAGAGCATTATGTCGTTATGAACCTTCATTAGTGATGTCTCGGTACTGTGGCAGGACTTTTATGCAGATTGAAAAGGCGCGTTCAAATCATTGCAAACCAGATATAGTGATTAAGCTAAGCACCAACAGCTTTTTCAGTGAGTTTGGAAACATATTTGAAATTGGACACGGGAAGAAAGTAAGAAAAAAAACCTCAGTGATAGGAAAGACATTACAAAGAAACAGTTCTCTGTGAAACAATTACGTGGTCTGAAATGGAAGAACAAACCATACAAGCTTAAAAGGTTTATACATACGTGCATAAGTATAATTTCAAGAAAAAAAAATAGATATATTATATTACCTCTATGGTTAATATTCTCGGTAGTTCGTCATATGATATCTTGACCATCTTTGCTGCTCTTTCAGCCTGAGCTTGAGTCTTGGCTACTACTGCACCAATCACCTGTCCTACACAGGTCACCTGATCAAGCAAACACAGCTTAATTGTTCACAGCTGATGACCCACCCGCTTCTTATGTTTCCCGATGGCCTACAAGTAAAACGTTTGCTCACAAGCTCGGATCCGTCAAGTTTTATTCGACTTGTTTCTTCATTTTGGCGTCTTTTTTTCTTAGGCCATGAACCACTAAACAAAATTTTTTTTTTCGGCCCGTTCCTTTTTTTATTTGGTAGAGTGTTTACCTCTCCCAAGATGGCGGAAGGATATACTAGTTTCTAGTCTAATTCAAAAAGTTATTGAGGGAGGGGGCAAACTCAAAGAAACGTTCATGCAAGGAATATATTAGGTGGAAATTAAACCATTCCTATTAAGTACCCGAGAAAAAATATTCCTGCATTGGCAATATTGTTTACAGCATCAAAGAAAATATTCGTACACGAAATTTCGATGAAAAAAATTGAGGTAAGAAAATATTAGTGATAAACCCCTCCCCATCTTTCAAAATAAATTTCTTCCCGCACCCTATATTGAAAGTGTACCAGGTGTCTATCCTATGCCGAAATAATTGTCATCAATACCGACCTGCACTGTTCAGATGTTTTGATGTGTGATGTGCTGACCCTAAATAAACAAGCGACCGACTTCGAGAAAGACAACCTCTCACCTAGAAGATCTCTTTGAGAAAAAAAAATGACTACCTTATCTGTCGCAAAAATTTCCTCATCTAGAACATGATACCCGGTTTTATTGTCTCCCGGTACATCTTCCGAGCTTACGTAAGCTTTGACACCGGGGAGGGATAACGCCTCACTTGGGTCCACAGAGCTGCAGAATTAAATCCGAGAGACATGTAGGAAATTAGCCAGCCTTGCTTACTTATGCGTAGAAAGGCTAATCTTGGCTAAATTGCTTTGACTACCAAGAACAAATGCGCTGTTATATATGGTGATATGGGCATCCCCATTCCCAAAACCCTAATGACATTAGACTACGAATAGTCCCCACTTTTTCTCCGGGATAGTAGAACAAGCAAAACGCGCGCGCGCGTGAAAATCACCCCACGCGAGAAAGGCAAGACGAGGCGGGGAGAGAGAAAAATCCCAGAGGAAAAATGGGGACTACTCGTAGTCTATAATGATATGGCCATCTCCTTCTCTATACCTTAGCGAATTGGGTTAGGGTTAGGACAAGGGTTACAGGGGATGCAGATATCACTAGGGTTTTGAGAATGGGGATGCCTAAAACGCGGAGATGCCCATATTACCGTGACAGCGCTACTTAAGAAAGTTGTTCGCAAAGGCTTCTGGATTCGTTACTGTCGCGCCGATCAGCTACTGGCCAAATTTTTATCCTGTTCCCAGCAACCGTCCCAGAGGTCTTTGCAAAAGTTAACTCGCTCCAGTTTCCTTCTCGTTCTGTTAGGTGGCGAATGGAGTATTCCCCCAGGGAGGTACTCCAGATTTCAATTGACGGGACGATCGAATGGGGGTAAAAATCAGAACCGAAAAACATCTCTGGACCAAATATTAACCCCTAAAATAAATCCCATGCCGAATTTCCGACGCCAAGTTTAGTTGTATTGTATTCCGAGAACCGCAAGGCCATGAAACTTCAGATTGTTTTGAATACCCCAAGTGTCCCTGCTTTAATCAATCCAGCAAAAAAAAACTCGCCAAGTTTTTCTACCAAAAATCTCAGAGTCGAAAATTTCAAACCCAAAAAAATACTTCAATCATTCTCGTCACTTGAGATTCAGAGTACCCACCCCCCGGGGAAGATTTCAGGCAAAAATTTTCCACAATGTTCCAAGTCAGGATAACAAGAAACCGTGTAAAGTAAGCTAAAGAAGGAATGTATACTTACGTGATTTTGGCATGAGCGCGTTTGCTGAAAACAATGCCCATATACAGTTCATCTGCAAAAGTAAGAAATAAATAATGAAATGTCATAATGACTGTACTGCTTGAACAAAATGCATATGCACGCCGTGATACAGGTCACTGTATTTGTAATTTTTATATGAGATCTGCAGTAAACCTTTCCAGCATTTTGCTCTCCAGTGAGGAAACAAACAATAAAAATAAATAAGGTCGACGGTCGGGTGGACAATTTCATGAAATCACTGTATTCTGTCCACCCAAGCCTCAAGTTGGTGCCTTTGTTTACAGAAATGCCGGAAAGTTTATACACAAAAGTTAAAAGCATACTTATATTTCGAACCCAGATTTCACTGGCATATATCTGTAGGAACACACTATTTGTAATGTGGGAAACTGGGTACGAGACTTATGCAACGACAGAGAGAATTCGAGAGAGATACTATTAACAGAGATACTATCTTATAAAATAACTCCCCATCATTTTCCCTTTACTTTAACCTACCTGCATACTTTGGTATATCGTCACAATAGATTGCCTCTCCTGTGGTTTGTTTAGCTGCAGATAAGTGAGGTATCGGCCTGCCGACCACATCCTCCGACGGCTGCTCACTGGGGACTTCCTGAACCAACCATGAACACACAAAGTATGTACGCATTACGATCCTATAAAATCTCGGCTAACAATAATGAGATATCAAAGTGTTGGTTCATCTGTTGAGTTTGCCCGCGCTTGAAAATGGTTTTAGGTTTGGTGCTCAAAAGTTGCAGGATTTTGTGCCAAGTGCTGATTAACCCACGAAGTTGTGACCGATTAAATTTTATGAGAGTATTTTCTTAGGCGACTACTAAACTTCTCCATTTTTAGCAAAAACAAAAAGATCCGGCAATCCCTAATAAGATAAGTTCTTTCACTCGCAACGTACCTGAAACGTTTGTAAACTTTTAGAAGCGTCTCTCTCAAACAATTTCATTCCACTCCTAAAGCGTCTGGGAAAGAACTCTTCGTGAATAGTCTGCAATTCATACCAGACAAAGGTAAGTTGACATAAGGGACGCTATAAGGGTTAATTTTACTGTTAGTTCACGACGTTGAATGAGAGGTTAAAATTTTTGTCGAAACGTTAGTTTTCTCCTCTCCTCAAAACCCCCTACATTTTCCGCAATTCAAGTTCAAGATTGCTTGGTGGATGTGCCTCCGTTGAATATCACTTTAAAGTTAAAGTTAATATCATCTTTATTTATTATTCATTCATTCATTTAAAATCTAGAAGAAGAAAAAAGTTACGGCAAGTTACCTTAGCTTGATTACTAAGACATTCAGAAACGTTTAAGTAGAATTTGAAGAAGAAGCTGGTTGCGAGTGACTGCCTGAATTGCACTTGTCCTCCTGGAGCTCCTGGTGCCAGCGGGAGATCTTCAGCTAACAACTGACAAGCATTTGTGATTATATGCTCACTCCATTTGCTGAAATAACAAAAGAAAAATAATGCAATCATTACCGCTGCTACAGAGCATAAAGGACATTAAAGCTACCTTCCAGGGAGGGGGCTACTTCATGAGGGTTTGTTTATGATAGCCGTCATTCGTAAAGAAGAGAAGTGTAGTAGAAGGTACAATACATCAACCACTCGAGTATGTTTGTTGATTTGAATTAAAAGGAGCTTCCCTTTCATTCAGATAAACCTTATGCCTTACGGGAAAGCCGCAATTGCGCACTGAAAATTGACGGAATTTCACGACAGTCTTCACGGAACTTATAAATCTTAGCCCAAGGGCGTAGCTATGGGGCGAAGGGCATAGAAAAGATAAAATAACCTAGCTATCGACAGGGGCGAAATGCAAACGCTTTCCTTTGTTCCAATAAATTTACATAGATGCTGGCATGTGAGTGAAATCGCTCTATTGATTAGAAAAAACAACATCTAAGAAGTGAATGCCGAATCCTAAAAACCTGTAAGTAGATCAGTTTTGAATTTTCTAATTGGCCACTTTTGTCCTAAAAGAACTAAAACCCAGGTCCTACCGTCCAGTGAGACCCTTGATAGTTTTCAGAGCCATAACTGTTGTAGGAGCCATTCCTCCAAAGCTAAAACTGCAGTCTTTGATCTTCCATGAAGAGACGTTCCCTTGCTTTTCTAACACTACCTTCATACCGGTGTTGACTATGGCAATGTCATCTTCGCGCCGACGAGCTTGTTTGAAGGCGAACACATATTCGTCCTTGAAGCAGAACAGAAGTGTCGATAACTGACTAAAGTGACGTTTTAGATCGAGTGGAAGTGTCAAATCTAGTCCACCACTTACGCAAACCACCCGGGTGGAAATCTTGCGCATAAACGTAAAACTGAAACATTTTATGTGGTGGGAGACCACGCACTACCCTGAGTGCCAGAGACTTTTCTAGCGCGGTTTCCAGTTTCTGTCAAGTCTTTATAGTGACGCCGCGCTTCGCCGCTGGTGGCTTCGGCTTAAGGCCGAAGATGTGTCGGCCTTCGGCCAACACCGAAAATTCCCATCCCACGCCAGAAAAACCTCTGGTACCCAGGGTAACCACGCACCGAATTATATCAAAATCAGCTGAAAAGACTAAAAAGGACAGAAAAATTACATCGCTGCAAATCGCAGCCCAAAGGTTCCCAAATGGAATGGTGCAAACCTTTTGATTTTCCGACCGTAATTTTCCAGTTTTACCATGGAAATGGTAAGTATCGCATCTTACATGCTACAAGGTGGATTTTGCCCATCTTCTCGTATCTGAAAAACTAATGATGAAAGGAACTGGAACAAGAATCGTTACCTTTTCTGTGAAAGGAATGAGGATGTTAACAAGAACTTCATTCGGCTCTAAAACAGTTTTTCTGTATCCTGTAAAAAAATTCTCATCCAGTCTGATTTCTCTGATTTTACCTTTGAAAGCAATGAAAAGACATGTAAAGAACATAATAATTTTGTTTACCCTGTTTCTGACCCACTATACTTCTCAGGGGAAGGAAGCGTTTTCGACGTCAGTAGTGTTCAGGAGATCCATTTCTATAGCAACTCAGACAAATGTGACCTAAGCAAGATCTCTGACATCGATGGAAGTTGCTCGTTTTTCTATCAGCGTTTTTCAAAATCGTGAGAAACCACAAAGGTTGTAATGGAAGCCATCGAGCCTACTAGCCATGCTGGCAGGCTAGGGTTCATACAGGTGGGTTTGTCGAGAGGTAGAGACGTTACGAAGAGCAGCTCCTGGTTCTCCGACTTTGGAGCTGGATGGGTGATGGACTAATTACCAGCCATCGTAAAACTAAACTTCAAACAGCTAAAATACTTAAGCGAGGCCTGGAGATCAAAATGGACACAGCTGAAAAGGTTTCAAAAGTATAGGAAAGCAGTTAAGGAAGTGTGGAAAAAACTAGCTTCTGAAGGAATAAAATAGTGAAATGAGTCACATGAGGCAACTGGTGGGCGAGGAATAAACAACTGACTTCTGGTTAGTCGTTACTTAATAGGAAAAAGATAACTAAGCTTTGGATCGATTTGGACGTAAGAGGGTTGACATCAGCGATGGTTTCTTTGTATGTCTTGGTACAAGGGCTGACTGTACTCGTAAACTAAATCATGAAATAATGAATTTGTGAATTTCATATTATTGGAACTGCGGAATGAAGAAATAAATGCAAAGACGATACTCGCAGTTAAAGACTCAACAGGCCTAGGCTTTCTTTACGCAGCTGCATAAACTGCGCCTTTAACTGCAAACATCTTCTTTTCATTAAAACTTCATTATTATTATATTCCTAATAACTCAAGGGAGTGGTCAACCCCATGAAAGAGGTATTCCCTCCCGGCCTAATACCTCCTGAGGCCGCCAACAACAGTTTGCATCTTGCAGCCATAAACAGAGGATTGAGGTCTGATATTGGACTAGCAGTCATAATATTTCCCCCAATCGCCTAAAAGAATAATAGAACGAAGAACAAAATAAGGAATCTCTATCACTTAGGGGAAAGCTGACGAGAAACGTTTGGGGTTTGTTGAAAACAAATTTAACCACTTCGAAATATCTCGTGTGTGGAATTCCTCGAGGTGGTCCGCCTTAAGATATGAAAGTTGATAAGCTGGGTTGCTTAGGAAAATCAGATTGTTGAGAGAACTTTGAGACATTCTTGATAAACGTCAGTAATAGCGTGAGTACGTGGTTAAACTGATTGCGAAGGTTGGCTTAGAGATCAGACTTCACCGCAATCGCTTCTTGCAAATGTACCTACAATCGTGGACAAAGGAAATTAGGACAGTGGTGCAGTACCCGTGATTAACTAGAGACCTTTAGATTCGAGGACGAGAACGACTACGAGTAAGAGATTTGTTTTAAAGTTTTTCACGTATTGTCAAAAAATAGACACTCAGGAGTTATTCATTGTACTTTTTTTCACCAGGAAAGTTAGCATTGTTATCGCTATTGAAGGAGGTTGAGCCCTCTCCCGATTGCAAAATGCTAAAACTTCTAACATTTGATAACTTGTTCCCGCCACTATGACACTCTCGTAGTAGAATGACGACAGCTACCACGTTTTCCCGCCAAAATGACGCTGCCTCACGCGCGAGCCTTATTTCCTACTGAGAAAATCTCGTACTCGTAGTCGTTCTAGTCTTAGAATCTAAAGGTCTCCAGTGTTTTTTTTAGCATAACTTTATGGGAAAGCGGAGCTACCGATAGTTTCTACGAAATGCGTTAGTTACAGTTTTCTCCTTCCCCACCCAATGCAAAGTTGAAAACTCACGCAAAAAGCCTGTGGGTACATTAAATCAACATAGAATGTTCTCAGTCCCCTATTTTTCCGTAAGAAAGTCTAGATCGAGGGCTTTGCGTTACGGGCGACCATCTTAGATGAGTGTGAAATGTTCTTAGGTGGCGGGGGACGTTTAGGGAAGATTAGTGTAACCGCCGCCTGGTTAGCTCAGTTGGGAGAGCGCCGGTCTACTGAGCGGGAGGTCGCGGGTTCAAACCCCGGCCGGACCAACACTCAGGGTCTTTAAATAACTGAGGAGAAAGTGCTGCCTTTGTAATAATATCTGCAAACGGCTAGACTCTCTAGTCTTCTCGGATAAGGACGATAAACCGTAGGCCCCGTCTCACAAGCCCTTGCACATGTATTAAATCTGTGGGACGTTAAAGAACCCACACACTCTTCGTAAAGAGTAGGGCACGTAGTGCCCGGTGTAGTGGCCTATCTCACTTTCACACTCATGTATGGGGGCATCATTACTCATTCCTTCACTACTTGTAAACTGCACCTTAAGCAGTCTGGCAAAGTCCCCCAACCAGTGTTGTAAATTATCCCTGAAAAGCCCTGAGGGGAGTGGATAATAAGATATTTACAATTAGTGTAAAGCTAGTGTAAAAAGAGCCACAAATACAAATTCTTCCCCTTTGTCCATGATTGTAGTCTTACTTTAATAATGCCATAATAAACGTTTGCTTCATTTTCAAGATCAGTCCTTTTCCCTAGGCAAAGACTCTGATCTATAACTTTTCATTAGTATGAACATGATATAATCGAGGTTGCAAAGTATGGTTAAAATATTAATCTTATTGTAAATAACCAGAAAAGAAACTTACCCCGACATTTCTTATCTGATGACCGGCAAACCACTTGAGCATGTAAAGTATTGCAGCAAACCATCTCGTCTTGTACTCTAAAGTTAATAATTAATTATTATGAGTGTAAATCGTAAGAGGGTGATCTGAATAACCGCCAACTTTATTGAGTGTCCATAGGCTCTACGAGAGTCAAACGAAATGAGCCTAGGCTGCAGAGAAGGGTGAGACTCAACCTTCAAGAAATTTGCCAATTTATTTCTTGTAAAATACTGAAGCAAAAAAAAGAAACTGCCCCCAAAAAAGAAATACATTGAGGGTCTAGAAATGACAGGGGAGTGAAAGAATTAGGTAATCGGGCCATTCCAGTGGAAACTTACGAAGGAAATTGAGCATATGGAATGTTCCCGGTCGGAATGTACTAAACGAAAGTTCGTGCTCTACGTCTCCAAACTCATCTTTGCTAACAGTTTTGCGACCGTATTTCAGTAATTGGGACCGATTTGTGCAGACGGTAAGCGCAATTTCTAAACGTTAATCGTCAGTCCCGAATTTTGCTCTAGTTATTATTTTGTCCAAACAATGAGCCGACTGGTTAGTCCAAGTACATAAATGGTAAACAACGTCGTGGGGCAAAAATGTTTTATTGTCAATGCAAATTCGGTTTTATGTACCTGGTAAAGATTCTGTGGCTTCCAAAAGAACCTCTTCCAGAGTAGACAGTGTAACAGATGCACCAAAGATAATACCATCTGTGGTGTGCTTCACCACATTCAGTTCTGGGATATGAGTGGCAGCTATCAGGATTGGATAGTTTTGACTCTTGAACTTCGTCTCAATTCCTATAAAACACGATTGACGAAACGAGATATAAATTGCTTAAGTAGGAAAATGCTTAGGGGAGGGTGTAAGGCGGGATGGTTTTTGTTTAGTGAGTTAGTTACTTTACTTTTTTTTTTCTTTTGGCGTTTATTTTTTACCAATATTTTCGTTGAACATTTGCACTCGTTCAGCGTATGCGGATAAAAAGAGTTGAATCAGTTATCTTTACCATATCATGATATCACTTGCTTATTTGCAATGAAACCGATCATGATCAGCTATGATCACATTTCGTCTCGTTTGGTTACCTACCATTTATAAGTGCTCGTGGAACATTTGCCAAAGATTGCAGAATTAATAATTCTCGAGAAGCTGGAAAGGAGACAAATGCTTTGCCCTTCAGATCAGAACTCACCTAATTCAGTATTACCAACAACTAATTTTGCTGTTGGGTATTTCTCCTTTAGCTCTAAAAGTTCCTGTAATGTGGTCGGCCTAATCCAAGTTGTTTTTTGTCCTTTGATAAACAAACTTTTTGGCTTGACAGCACCTTTAAGCTGAGTAAAAGAAGAAGAAAAGAAAGAAAAGTGAAACCTTCAATACACTTCGCGCTTAAGACCTTTAGATTCTAAGACGAGTACGACAAGGAGTACGAGATTTTTGCAATACTAAGTAATGCTGGCAAGTGAACCAGCGTCATTTTGGCGGGTAAAAGTGGTAGCCGTCGTCATTCCTGTAAGAGTTTTAGCGAGAATGTCGTATTGGCGGAAACAAGTTATCAAATGTTTGACTGTTTAATCCTTTTGCGATCGGGAGAGAGCTTATTCTCCTCCAATAAAGATAACAGTGCTAACTTTTCAGGTAAAAAATGGAAAGTACAGTGAAGCATCCCGGGAGGTCTATTTTGTAGCAATATACGCGAAAAAACTTTCAATCAAATCTTGTACTCGTAGTCGTCCTCATCCTCGAATCTAAAGGTTATGTTACACGGGACTATTCGCAAGGACGATTTTTAGCGCAACACAGCATTACAACATTGTTGGGACATTGTTTCGAATGGTTGCAACATTGTTCCAACATTGCTACGCTCCACGCTTTGCACTCAAGATAGAGCCCTACAGGTTCTCTCAACGTTTTAGTGGATTATTCTGCAGGTATGAATTTTAAGGATTCGTTGCTATATGCGAGGACTTGATCGTTAAAAAGATCTAGCGTTGCTTATATTCCAGAAGTTATTTAATTAGTTATGATATAGCCTCTCAGAGTACTTGGTGAGAATTTATGTCAGTCAGTTAACGCTTATCTCAGTGTAAACAAGAGCAAAACAAGTTAGGACTGTACCATCAATTCAGGCGGAAAGATGACGTCTTGCGTCGGATCATAAGGAGCAAAATCCTCTGCATTAAATAGTAAATTATCGCCCTGCAAAAAATAACAACAAAACTTTATATTTCTCAGTTTTACTTGGAGTCAAACGTCCTTCGAATGGATTGCAAAACGAGACCTGATAGGGACAATTGTAGGTCGCAGACAAATTACAGTTACTTAACGTTGTTTATAATTGGTTTGTAAAGTCCACCTAGTTTGATTTAAGTTAATTATACTACGCAGAACTAATCTGAAACCAAAACACCGACACGATGAAGATGTTGGCATCGCCACAGGCCTTTCCACACGGTATACGCCATACAGTCCCAGTAATAATTTTTCTTTTTCTTAGAATTCGAATACTGGATGCAATCGTGTTGCACTTTGTTTGCTAACTAGTAAGTGTGACATTTCTCATCCACTAACATGAAGGGGTGGACGGACGGACCGACGGACGATTCCACCTGATTTTGTCAGAACCAAAATTTCTTGGATGCATGCTAGGTAACCAAATTTTCTTACCCATAGTACTCCTCCGAGAGATCCGCAAAAAGGTACCTTTTTGTCGTCTTCATAAGAAGTAATTTCATTCTGGTTGACGTCTTTACAACAGTCACTTGAGACCTTAGCGCAACATTCCTGAGACAAACACAGAAAGACCTAACTCAATAACTGGTCACGGGATAACTTAAAAAATACGTCACGTCAATGAGTTGTACACCTGAGGTAGCGATACAGACATGTGACAGTAGTCAGCGGATACTTTTTTTACAGCTGTTAATTGACCATGGATGTCCAATATCAAGTTAAACACTGATAGTATATGCCTTGGACATTTCACAACAGCAAACATGAAGGAGTGGATGTAGGGATGGATGATTGTCAGAACCCAAATTTCTTGGATGCACAGATAACCAAATTTTCTTACCCATGATGCTCTGCTGAAAGATAAAAAAAACTAAAACGTACCTTTTTGTCGTCTTCATGAGAAGTAATTTCATTCTGGTTGACGTCTTTACAACAGTCACTTGAGACCTTAGCGCAACATTCCTAAGACAAACACAAAAAAGATCTGATTTCAGTTACTGTGGCAAAAAAAGTATGATGAAGGTATGTAAATTCAATGTTTAATAAGGCACTGTCTTAAATAGTCCACCACAGCAAACAGTAAAACGGAAATCGTCCATTGTACCTTTAACTTTTTAACCCGCAATTATTTTATCCGGCGCCAGAGGGTATGTTTTTTTGCACCCTCTGGTCTGCAATTAAATTAGATTTTATCGTTTGAGTCAGAAAAGGGTAAGGTTCAATGGCTTCTAGAACTAGAACTGAGTACGGCGAATGCCGTTAAATTTAACGCTAAGAGATTCGGCTTCCCTCACATGACTAGGCGGTAGAGAACTGTTCCGCTGGCTGTTTTCATGAAACGAAATGGGACAAATAGTTTGTTAACAGAGTCCCTCGGGAGTAATTAAACAAACTGATGATAAATATTCGAAAAGGCCATTTAGAGACTTGTATACCATTATGGATTTCTGTATTTGAAATTGAGTGCTCAAGTCTTTTCCAATCGAGTTGTTCAATCAAACGGTTGATCAGCATCATAGCTAGAAAAGTTAAAACGAACGGCAACAACTTATTTCAGGAAATTAACACTGCAGTTAAGGCCCTGGCTTCTTAAATTAACGCACACTTAGTGGAAAACGACTTTCGAATTAAACATGCGAAAGAGAGGGTAATATTTCAATATGAAGGAAATGAACGAACAACAGGCAAAAAGTTAAACTTGAAAAAAAAATCGGAGATGGAAAGTTTGTTCGTGGTTCTTTCCTTAAACGTACGAAGGGAGTCAAGCGAAAAATTCTGGCCACATCGGGGGTGCTTCATAAGTTCTGTATCGACTGTTACTAGCGGATCTCGGCTGACCCTGATAAAATACTCCTCTTTCTTAGGTGACAACAATATCAAAAGTGTAACGAGAATTTGGGGCCAAAATAGTGGAAATTAAGGTCATGGAGATTAACGCTTCATTTGATTAACGGCTCCTGCAGCGCGGAAATAAACATTCGCAAAAAAAATAACCTTAAATACCTGACAATTTGCATGATGGCGTCATTTTACTACTACGACCAAAATTCTTTTCGTTTTTCCTTTCATATTTAACTTGGGTAATCCCAGCGGGGTTTAAAAAACAAAAGCCCTAATTTGCACAAGAAAGCAAAACCCTGAAGGATTCTGGTCGTAGTAGTAAAATGACGCCATCATGCAAATGGCCTATTAACGCGCATTTTTGAAATTCTCGTTAATTTCATGAAGCGGTTAATTTCCTATGATAAGGTACCGTAAAATTCCGAAAATAAGCCCCTCCAAATACAAGCCCCCCTAACCGGTAACGCAAAAAACCCTCCGTTAAATCGCCCCTCCAAATATAACCCCCCAGGGGCTTGTACTTGGAAAATTGCCCTCAAATACAGAGTAAAACCAGAGCAAAAAAGGCAAATTTACTTCCAACTATAAGGCTAGCCCGATCGATTTTGAAACGCAAATTTCCCTCCGTAGATAAGCCCCTCCGAATATAAGCCCCTCCAAAAATAAGCCCCTCAAAAAGGGCCTTTGGAAAATATAAGCCCCGGGGCTTATTTTCGGAATTTTACGGTAAGTCACAATGATGAAAATGATAACGATGACGATAATCATCATCAATCATTATTCATACTTTGAGAACAGCGGTTCAGGTTCGAAAAAGGGGAGGAAAAATCTCATATTTTGGTCTGAACTAGGGCTAGAATTTATAGGAAGCAACAGACCACTTTCAAGAGCTTCCCGGAAAACCCCCCTTAAGCTAAGGTACCTCACACGACGTTTTTCTCCGTCCAGATATCTATAAAGTAGGAGGCTGTTTAAGGTTACATTTATTTACCTTTGCGAACGTTTTGAATCCTGCGATGATTGGTCTGTAACCAGTACATCGGCATAAGTTACCTGCAATTGCCAAACGGGAAGTATGCATGATAAAACCAGTGGAGGGGTAGGGGGTGTACGGGAGTACCCTCCACTACCCTGTACATCGGAATAAATTACCTGGGAGTGCAATTATATTACCAAACAGGGCGTATGCATGACAAAATATGTCGGAGGGGGGGGGGGGGGTACACGGTAGGACCCTGCACTATCTATTTCATTTAGGGGTTTAATTCAATATTCCCGACGAGCATCTCGGCCCCTTTCATATAGGAGGCCCCCAGGGGTTACGTGCTCCACTCCTAGGTAATAGGTCGCATCCTTCTTTCGACTTATTTCCTTTCTGCGCAGCTTTATGTAGCTTTAAATACGCGTAAAACGGAGCGCTATTGGAAAGAGGGGGGAGGGAAAAGGGGGTAAAAAAGCGCATCTTAGGTTTTCGGTTATTCTGGAAACTAGAGTTTGTTTTTTTCGAGCGGCTGGATGCTTCGGTGTTCGCCACAGGCCGAAGTCACGAGCGGCGAAGCTTTTCGCGCCAGTCACTATAAAGACTTGACCGAAACCGCAAATCGCGCATGAAAAGTCTCTGGCATCCTGGGTAGCTTCACTACGAGATCTGTCAGAACTTAAAAGTACTGTTACACGAGTTACCAAAGTAAAATTAGGACCTTAGACTTTGGACCAATTTTAAAGTAAAAAAGGAACAAAATGTAACTATACATTACCACACATATACACGTACACGAGAGGAAGTAAATAAGTACGTAGACATGATTAAAGTCGATCTAAAACGTCTTAATTTCATCAGCCTCAAGTATTTTCTAGTTGTACGCGCTGTATGGGCACAGTTTGCTTTCAATGTGCGCACACGCTTCTGTTAAGTTCGTTAAATGGCGTTTATTGACGTAGAGGTAAACCTAATGAAGTTTAATCTCACTATCAAAACAAAACGCTCGCTTTCGAGCCATGAACTATGACAAGAGTTTCATACCTTCGAAAGCACTTTCTATTTCTTTCTGTGTTGGTGCAGGGTTGTTCCTCAGAAGGGTGTACATTGACATCACAATTCCTGGAGTGCAAAATCCACACTGGGACCCATGAGATTTAGCAATTCGCTCCTTAATAAGTAGAAAAAGTAAAAATAAAAAAAATAACAGTGCTATAAGATATGTAATTGTAGTTGTCAGTGATTCCCAGAAAAAAAAGATTTATTGTTCGATTAATAACTAGCTTACCTGAGGCATCGCCCTTATATATAAGCAGAAGCCATAAACCCAGAGCGAGCAACCCTTTTGTGCCCATGCAACGGCGTTTTTTTTTAATGACCGGGTTATTTTCAGATCGATTGTCCCGCCAATTTTGACCATCAAATAAGTCTTACAAATAAGTCAGTATAAATACGGAGACGAGAAGAAAATAGGATACTTACCTTTGTCTTTATTTTGTCATTATCGAACAATGAATACACACAGATACGAAGCGGTCCTTTCATTTTCGTGGCGATAAAGTACTCTTGACCATGACCAATACGATGCTTAAAAAAACCCCGTTGCAAAGACTGAGTAAGGGAGTTGCATGCTCCGAGTTACGGGCTTCTGATAGTATGAGATATTTTTACTTTTTATTTTATTCTTTAAAACTATTCTTTTAAAAAATAATACTTAAAATATGTACCTGTACAGGATGGAGAGTAGTCTTGGTGCTCCCAATTCCTTCCACTGTGGTAACTGCCATTCCATCCACTGCACACAACGGCAACAGACATCCATTTGCAGAAAAGTGTATTAGCAATGTCAAGTTTAACTGCCCATATGCATATCAGGCCGTGTGATAAGTTATTGACCTTAGAAACGCTTTAGTTCGCTCTTGTAGAATCATAAACCCTGTTCCGTTGGTGACTCTGTCATTATCCGATTGCGTTCAAAGCCACTGGTGCTGAATTTGCGCAAAACGAGAAAACGCTCAAAGCACGTCTAAATAATTAACAATAATTGGACGATGTTAGGCAAAATATCTTGATTTGCCGGTGGCGAGCATTTTTTTTTTTAGCCGAGGCAAATAATAGATCTGCGAGACACTGACAAATCACGTTATTTGGCGATAACGAGTTCAATAATTGTTTTATCATTCGATCACCTAGTTTGTTTTTTAATGAATATCTTCGGGAAGTCAAGCGATCTGCCATCAAGAAGGAGAAAAGCGTGGTTTCATTTACGCATGAAGACAGTATTATTTGCAGCCAAACACAGTTGGAAAACATTGCGCATGAGCAGAGCCTTATTTGTAGGCAGTTATTTGCAGGTCACGTGGAGGGCTGTCGGCCAATTAAAAGGAGGAAAAATGTCCATCCAATGATAAAATCTGTTACGTAGAATTCACCAGAGACGCAAACAAAAATAAACTGCCCCGTGCTCTCTTTACATGCCTTCCCTGCACGTAACCACTTCTATTTAGTCTACCCTAGAAAAAAAGTGCAAACTCGAAGCTAAAAACATTTTTATTTAAGGTCTCGGTAAAGGAAAACGAGGTGCCCACAGAAAAAAATGCTAGTCGCGCGAGTATTTTCGTTACAAAGGCATGTTATATATCAAATTAAAGCTAAAAGACTAAATTACCTTATAAAAGATTTTATTTCATCGAATTTCAAAAGGCGCTTAAGTTTTTTGCTCTCGAACTCAGAGGTATCAAGTTTACTGCTGAAGCTCCAGCCCTTTCGCGTTGTTAAATATTCACTTCCTTTTTATTGCATCTGATTGACAGATAAAACACCTAGAAAAGGGTGTGAGGAAATTTGCATACGTTTCGTATTAGCGGAATTATTGCATTTCAAACTAAAAAGTCGAATCTCGAGCGCGATTTACGCAAAGAAACTGACATAAAATGAGTTACAAAGGGAAATCGGAAAATTCCTCACACCCTTAATGAGTCTATATCATTATCCATCATATCTGAAAGTTTCAAAGCGATAGCTTAAAACCTGTCCCGACTGGAGGTCGGAGAATTTTGATTTTTGCGCCTAAAATAGAGTGAGAGAAAATCAGCTCTAAAGATTTAGGGCGAGGTCCACGCTTGGCTGGTTAGCTCAGAAAAGGCTCATTTTAGAAGGGTTAAAAAGCACTTTCTGGTTTTCTTTTTCTGCCAAAATAAAATTTAGGACCCACTCATGCCAAAAATAAAATAAAAAAAAAATCGAGCAATGTACTAAAACTTTCATTTACCGAGACCTTAATCAACTTTAGATTTCGCTTTAGTTTACCGTTCACCTAGGTCCTACAGGTGTGAACTGTCTAGTATAACGCAATCATATGTTCAGCAAAAATGGGAAAGAGGAATAGGAAAAACAGGAGAAAGGCAAACAAAAACTAGGAACTGAGTTTTATTTTCTTAAAACTTTACTTTAATTTTGCGAAAAACGAAAAAGTTGTACTTTTACATCATGAAAGAAACATACTGTAGATAATCTTATAGACGCTCAGGGCTTCTTTTTAATTTTAGGAGCCTAAGAGGGGGCGTTTAATAGATAAGAGAAGTTTGAAAAATAGAGCCGTTCATTCTTAAAGCTGAAACAAACTCCATAAAACTGATATGCTTAGGCCCGGTTCAGACGCCGAACTTTTCATGACTCGACCTTAACTCGCATTAAGGCTGACCCAAATTATTTAGACCGGCAGAAATGATTCAGACGCCGATATTAACTCCGGCCGAACAGTATTCAAAAGGCGAAAAATGCCCATTACGGGCAACTGTCATGCGTGCAAAATACGTTATAATAATTTATGCACTAGGTTCGGCTCATGAAAATGCGGCGTCCGAAGTCAAATACACCACAGTTTATAAATGGCAAACTATCCAATCCATTCAGTGATAGACCGTTTAGAGGTCCATATCGTCATTTAAATCGACTTAACTGACTTTGATTTCAGAATCGTGACTTTTAACCTGTCATTGATCGAGATGCAATGCGCACACTCTTGTTAATCAAGAAAAAAATGAATGAAGAAATTATCATGTCTATTAGACAGGGGGCGTTTATTAGAGAGGGGCGTTTAATACAAAGCGTAGTGGGGGAAGGCTTTTACTACAGGAGAGACCAAGGGTACTACCCTACAAAAGTGACGGGGGTGCTCGTCGGAAAATTTTGAGAACACCCGTAAAAGGTACCCGAATCTTGTTTTATGGGCGTGTCCCAAATTGATTTCCACCCTAAGAGTAAACCAATTGAACAATATTATTATTCATTCAAAATATTTCTCCGATTCTGATTGGCTAAAAGAACACGCATAATTCACCATAACAAGTTGCTGATGACCAAATTTGGAAAAATTTTGTGTTTAACGAGAAAATGACGCAAAAATGCAGCGTTTTTGAAGGTTAATGCACCGTTAACCGAGAAAACCTGGGGACGAGATTGAATTGTTTTGGTTGTGGAAACAAAAATGGCGGACATTTCACTCGTTTCAAGAGTAAGAACTAGGCGAAATAATAGCTCAAAACATGGCAAGAAAGGCAAGAAGACATCTCGAAGGGCAACATCTGCTATTTGGAGAATATTTGCGGAGCTGAACAACCCTAAACGTGCACTATCGAAGACAAGAGATGAACTTAACATCGATGGATCGATGGAGGAATTATTTTGAATGAATAATAAAACAATTAATGAATTCGGCTTTCGTATCATATTATCCGCCTCGGCCTACAGTCTCGAAGGAAAACACCCTCCCCCATCTCCATAATTCTTCATAAGATACTCAGCTTCATTCGTTAATTGTTAAATAAATTATATCACTGGCACTAAAAAATTTTAACAGTAATGAAGATAATTTTCGAACACTCTCTTCTCAAGGACTTTTTGAAAGTACTGTCATAAATCTTTATCTGGCAGCAGTCATTTTAGGTATTAGCACCCTAAGCGGTACCAATCCGCAAATTTAAACCCCTAAAAGGTGCGAGGAGCACCCCCGCCATTTTATAGGGGAGTACCCCCCCGGGGGGGGCAGGACAGGCGTTTATCTGAGAGAAGGGCGTCTACTAAATCATTTATGGTATCTCAAATGACAAACGATAAACAAGTTTTAACAGCGTCCAAATGTTGGCCGGAAAATCGTTTACGTAGCCTAAAACGAAGTGTTTTTAATTGCGGGAACGTGAGGTCACAAAGCAGGTCAACAAGACAAAGCCGAGTGCTCTCTCTACGTAGCCTAAAACAAAGTGTTTTTAATTGCGGGAACGTGAGGTCACAAAGCAGGTCAACAAGATAAAGCTGAGTGCTCTATCTAAAAAAGTATGGTTATTCTTAAAAGGATACTTTATCTTTTGTTTTTCATGATCATATCTTGAGATCATGACAGTACAAGCCCCACATCCACCTTCACTGCATCCCAGTTTGGTTCCCGTCAAGCCCACTACGTATCTCACTGTTAAGGTTTAATCAAATTATCTCGCGGCTCAGCTTGGTCCGCAAGGAAATAAAAATACAAAATCCTCAGGGCCCAGTCACTCACCGCCGCAATATTAAACATAGGAAAGGAGTCGTTCACATAGGCCTACTAAAAATGCGTCCAGCCCGGGGGGGGGACTCCCATATGAAACAGACGGGGATGCTCGTCGTCTCGCTTAGGGGTGTAAATTTTGGATTTTGGTCTCGCTTAGGGTGTTCCGGGCAAAGCGCCAATATCTTAAGCCGCCAAGGTCTCGTTTAGGGTTCCGCGAAGAACTTGAGATTTATGACAATGCTTTAAAAAACTACTTTTAGATAAAAGCATTCGATGATTATGTCTTTATATCATTAAGAGCCCATGAATGTAAATATCGAGAATCGCTGGCCAGGCTAAAAAAATCGACAATTCTGATAATTTGACAGAAAAAACCCTTTGGGGAACTATCTTCGAAAAAAATATTTTTAACTTTCAAGAATCTATAGTGTTCGAGAAAATGAGGAAAAACGAAAATAGCGGTTTTTACCTAATTAATTATGCAAAAATTAGAGTGAAAATGGTCTACTTTATCGCGTCGGTACCGAGGCAAGATTCAAAGCTATAGAACAGAAATATGTTTGTTTAAAAGCATTTTATCTTTTCTTTCTATCCATGGTATGTTTTAAACCATAAACACGATTTTGAATTTTTTACGGTTTTTTAAAAACTACCACCAAGCGCACTTTTTAAAATGGGTAAAAAATGAGCAACTTCAGAGGCAAAAAACTCACCTTGGTATGTGTGATACCTAGCCAAAATGTATACTAGGACAAAGTTCAGCTCTTATATTAACAGAACATGAAATAAAAAATCTGGGTACTCCGGATTCGCCTTTACAAAATAAACAGTTTCGTGACCACCAGTGGCAAAAGGTCACAAATTTGCATGAGTCAAATTTGTAAAGAAATGTTGCGGCAGCCGGTTTTGCTTCAATTCAGGGTCAGTATGTGATGTTCGGAAACATCACGAAGCAAGAAAACGTTTTTTGATAAAGTTTATGTTAAAACATCAGAGTAATTAACCGTTCACAAAAAAATAAATAAATAAATAAAAAACGAACTCGAAGAAGCGTTATATAGCATTTTCTTGACAGATGTTGAAATCTGATTTTTTTACTACGTATTACAAACAACAAACCGTCCCTTGGTTTATTTTTTTTTTTTTTACTTTTTCACAAATAGAGGTATAATTAGGCAGCTACCAAAGGCCCTAGGAAACAGCTAAGTCATCGTAGTTCATACGGTCCAGCGGTTTCTCTCCTCCGAAACGAATCCGAAACATCTTTCCCGCAAAAACTGCCCTTGATGGTCATCTCGAAGTTGTACCACCTGCCAAGGGGCGCTTTCCTTCAAATACAAAATGATATTTGTTCAGTGATTTCAAAATATAATGTAGCAGCGCCTTAGTGTGTAAATCTATACGCGCAACTCATGAAACAAGGCAAGTTCCAACCAACGCCGCCGAAGAACTGGAAAAGGAGACTACAGTCGAACCTCCCGAAAGCGACCACCCAAAATGCGAAGACTTAGTGGTCGCTAACGGGAGGTGGTCTCTTACGAGAATCGAACCACGGGAGGTTTCTTTGAGAAGAAAACCGGACACATCTACTTTAAGGAAGAGAATTTATTGCATGCAATTTCCAAGTTACGATATGTGCAGTTCCATGTTGATGTTGTTTCTACTACAAGGGATCGCTTACAAGAGTTTAAAAAACAATGCAAAATCATTAAACCGTCAGCCCCAATTAGTGGTCGCTGGCGCTTGCGGGAGAGATTCCAGCTGGAAGACTTAAACTGGGTGGGTTTTGGTGTTTTGGATAGGTGGTCGCTTAAGGGAGGTAGTCGCACATGGAGGTTCAACTGTACTCCAACAGAGTAAATCCCTTTCACGACGATGCGACTAGGATTTGTCCATGGAAGATAAGACTCCTTGTTCACCTCTTTTGAGCGGCTCTAATCAACTCCCACCCATGTCGAGTGCTTGCAAAACGTAGCATCATCTTGAAAAGAGAAGTATTAGAAAGGTCATCCTTGACGCCCCTGGCATATCGCAGTATGCGGCAACGAACTTGTATCGACGTAAGTACCATTTACTAACCGGGCAGTAAGGTGACGCAGAGTAAAAGCATAACTTGACTACAATTTTCAGTTTACAACAGACCCGAGTTTTGTTCAAAGAAATGTCTGCTTTTGCTCAGGAGTATTAACGTCAGTTCCCGCAATGTCCCAGCTCGCGCCTTCACACCGGAACGTCCGATCGAATTATTATTTAGTTGATAGCTACCCTTCTCTTCCTCTTCCCAACTTATCTAGGAAGATCGAAGGGCCTCAGCTCGCAGGGTAGTTGATAGCGACTAGGGCGCTAAATAACATAACGAGGTAAGTAAGTGGGATCGGCGGTTTTATTTACGCCTAACCGTTTCCCAAAGTAAAGAAGGAAATAGCTTCAGACAAAAGGGAAAGAAGACTCGAAATCGAGGCCCTGTGTGGCGAGTATATTTGTTGTTTTAGGCTGATTCTTTGCTAAAGTCATTACTTACTGCCTTTACCCAGTCAAAAAATGTTCAGTGTAGAGTTACACGTGGGGTATGAAGAAGATATCGTTTTATAAGGGAGCACTAACCAAAAATATCTTTTGGGTGATGCATTTAAACTTGAAAAAGATGGCCCATTTTTTTCAATTTTCAGTCCATGTCCATCCTGGCCATCAGTAGCAACAGACCGTGCCTAAATATAGTCTTACATAACAAAACTGGACCATTATTTTTGAACTGAATTGATGTGAAATGAAGACCATATTAGGTTTTTAAAATGAACTAGCAAATAGCTTGGCATAGCCCCTTTAACTCTTTTTTGACGGCCAATTTTAGGGGAAGAAAACCCAGCCTTTTTGGACCGGTTTTCAACCAGTTAGTAGCCTGGATAACAGGCCTTATTTTTTTCGCGTTTTTGGAGGCGAGCGAAGGCAAGCGCAAAGTGAGTGAGAAGCGCCAGACAAGCGCGATGGGGAAGACGCAGAAAAAACAACGGCCTGTCCACATACCATTGTTTTGTTGCATTCCGCCCCAGACCTACTCCTTAATGACGCTCCTCACGCTGTTCGCGCTTGCATTCGCTCCGGTTCGGGCTTGCCTTCGCTCGCCTGAAAAACGAACGCCTGTTATGCAGGATAGCAGGAGCCGATTACTGAGGCTAGCCAGTTAGCATGATGTGGGAATGGCTGAAAAAGAGATTTGCAACACGAGACTGCTAAATTGGACGTACACTAATTTAGAAGCTTTTTTGGCGCATTCATAGAAGCCAAAATTTGGACGTCTCTTACGAACCTATATCGATCTTTCTCTCCCGCTCTCTTTTTTCCCTTTGCCTTTCTTCTTCTGTTGCTCCGGCTTTTGATCGTCTTCTCACTGTCTTTGTTTTGCAACGAATTTTGGCTGGCTAACTTTTTAGGAAAGGGACATTGAATTAATCTGCAAAAAATAGAAGGTGAATAGAAAAATTGGAAGTAGATTCGTTCACCCCAAATGTTGCTTTTTTGTGTGTGTGTAACTCAGTCAAGATACATGAAGATAGGTGAAAATTTGGTGAATGAGGTACCAGTGGAAAAATTCATCCTTGCTGATTTTGATCAGTTCATCATCTTGGTGAATGAATGGAAAGGTAAATGGGTCCATGAAGGATACCGTAAAATTCCGAAAATAAGCCCCTCCTTGATAAGCACCTTCAAATGTAGGTCCCCAAACTTGTAACGCAAAAAACCGTCCGTTAAAGCGCCCCTCCATATATAAGCCCCCCGGGGCTTGTACTTGGAAATTGCCCTCAAATACAAGGTAAAACAAAGCAAAAACGGTAAATTTCCTTCCAACTATAAGGTTAGCCCAATCGATTTTGAAACACAAAATTCCCTCCATAGATAAGCCCCTCTGAATATAAGCCCGTCCTAAAATAAGCCCCTCAAAAAAAGGCCTTTGAAAATTAAAATATCAGCCCCGGGGCTTATTTTCGGAATTTTACGATATTCTTGGTTCAAAAAAAAAATAATAAAAACACCAAAACGACCCCAGTGCAGTACTCCCTCCATATGATTTATTTTTTCTATTGAGCGTTCAATGAAGGTTTCAGCTAATCAATGGCACAATTACGGGTCGGTCCACTTGGCGATCTTTGGCCATCTTTGGGTGTTCGAAATCATGTCTGGACTAATAGTGTTGAACGCACGAACAGTGAAGAGGCAGACAGAGGAGGTGGAAGAATTTCAGAAAAGAGAGAAAAGGGGGCAATGATTTCTTTAATCTTGTCTTTACTTACGTTATTTTTAATAAGCGAGACTTGGCAATTTCACCAAAATATAACTTTGAAAAACTTCTGAGAAAATTAACTATTTCGGATTTTTATTGATTGAAAACTTAGGTCTGATGTATAGTATTAATGGCAAATCCCCTGAAATGCCTTGATGAATGAACTATCGGTACCATAAAAGCATGTGCCCACTCCAAGAAAGATGTATGGCTACGAAACTCATTCAGGTGAATTGAGTAAAGTTAAGTCATCGAACATGAATAATATTTCTTTACACACTTCATAAGCTCACATTTTTTTATCGTACCGGTAAAAATAAAGTGTGACTGTGCTGAGTTTGACAACGGTCACGCAATTGCAGAATACATTACTCCAACACCCGACAACAATTTGTGAGCAACCTTAATTTTGTAATGTACCATTAAGAAGAGCTAAATAACATACTAATTACAAAACATTTAACATTAGCTATTCTCTTGGGTATGCTATTCTTAAGCCTCAAATATTGCGTGATGCTGACAGTTACGATAGGAATATGCAGATGCATTATGCAAATTTGCCACATTGTGTCACCCGCCTTCACAGCTACGTATTTGTTATCAGGGGTATCAATTTTTCTGATACT